GGGGGGGGGGTTGAGAGCTAAGCCAGCAGCTTAAACAAAAAAATCCACACAGTGTGGGAGCTCAGTAGGAGATTTAGAGGGAGAGCTGCGCCCACTGCTGGCTCCACTGGCATCAACCCATCACCCCATGCACCGGGGTGGGGGGGGTGCCTGCACCCAGCGGGTGCGTGTGCATACGTGCGCACGCACCCAGCAGCGCGTGCTCAGGGCACACCCAGTGGCACACACACAGCGGGGGGGTGTGTGTATGCATGTGTGTGCACACAGGAGCACACACAGGGTGGGTGGGTGTGCACGCACCCAGCAATGCATACACAGGGGGTGTGTGTGCACACATGTACACACACCCAGGAGCGCACAGGGGACGGGGGGGGGGGGGTACATGCTGATGTCCTTGGGTGCGTGCAGGAGAGGTGTCTCTGTGCTGGGGTGCAGCGTGGGCCCCATGAGACCCGAGGGAGTGAAGGCCTGCGGGCTCCCTGCCCACCCCACCATGGTGGGCTTGGGCCAGGCGATGGCTCCCAGCCAGCTCCCTCCAGGCCAGGAGCAGCTCCCACAAGTGAAGTGAGAGCCCAAACTCCGGCTCCAAATGGAGACGCAGTGGCCACAAGACTTTTCCACCTCTCTCCCGAGGGCAACTTGCATCAGAGACCTCAACCCTGCCAGGGCCTGGCCTATATCTGCACACATTAAACTTTCACTGATCCCAAAGCAGCGCTGTTCAGCACCGGCTCCAAGCTAGGCACCGACTCCAGGCTTTCTCTAGCCCAGGATCCCCCAGCCCAGTGCCCTCTAACATAAAGCTGAGCCTCGCAGAAATTCGCCTCTTTACTGGACACTTCGGAAATCATCCAGCAGCTCACGAGCTCCTCTGCAGGACACTGCTGCCACCACTGACACTTTGCCCCTTCTCCATAGCTGCAGCCCAGCAGGCAGCACTGTGAGCTTGAGCCCTGGCTTCTGCTCTTCCTGGGGGAGAGATGTGTGGGCACTAACTTTCCAAGAGAGGCAAGAGGGAACTCACGCTACGCTCTCCCCTTTTGGCACTATCCTTGCAAGGACCTCAGGTGGAGGTTGACGGGTGGGTCTCCCCCTTCTACAAGATGACCTGTTCTGTTAACCCAGCTTAGCTTTTCAGGGACCACAGGACCTGGTGCTCTCAGTGATTGCCCTCGGTCCTCCTGCTAAAATCAACCCTGGGAAGTGCTAACAGCCTCAGCCCCCCCCCACACCCACCTCTTTTGGCCATGCTGAGCTACTACAGCCAGTGCAAAGGCCAGTTTCCCACAGCAGTAAGGCCTCTCTAGAGGAGGTATGACTCCTCATTCGGTCTTGGGTTAGCAAGCTCCAGCCGCTGAGCCCCAGGTTGCTGCTGGGCTGGAAGAGCAAAGCTGCAGGCACTGTGCTGGCCACCGCTCCTCCCTCCCCTTTTGCAGCAGCCCCTGGTCAGCAGTGAGGCTGGGAAGGTCAGGCTGAGCTGTTGTAAAAATCACATCCTGAATGGTCTCATTTCCCAAAGTGCCCAGGGTGCAGCAGGTCTGGCGTGCCAGCCAGGTGCTCAGAGGTGCTCCTGGTCCCAGCAGGAGCGTGGATGCTCAGACCCAGTGTCTCAAGTTTGGTAAGCCCCTTCCCCATACCCCCAAGGCCCTGTTATTTAGAGGGACAGTCATCATCTGCTTGAGAGCAGGCAGCAAGCAGCTACATTGCACCTGCCCCAGACCCACTGGGAGCTTGGTTGGGACTGGGAACGGAGAGGTCAAGACACGCCGCGTGCCCCGTGGGGAAGACAGCGTGCAGAGGAAGAGCCCGGAGTCAGCGTTCGCTCCCTGCCCCCCAAGCTCCCCTCGGCAGCGTGTCGGAGAGAGCAGCTCCCTGCATTATGCAGGCTCCAGTGCACTCACCTTTCATGCGTCTGCTGCTGCGGAGCTGCTGGCTTCACTCTGAATTGAACTGTCACAGGGAATTACACAGCCCGGCTGGCTGAAGGCAAAGCCGAGGCAATGAGAGCTGCCTTCCCCCCTGCCCCGCTCAGCTGGGAGTTATCCCATGGAGCACAGCACTGGCCAGAGCACGGCTCAGTCTTCTTCCCGCTGAGCTGCCTTCAAAGGGGACAAGAGCTGGCCAGGACAGCCCAGCTATGGAGAGAGGCTGGGGCTGAGCGGTCTCTGTAACTGACACTGCTGCCCTGCTTTCCACAGCATCTCCTGCTGCGAAGGGATGGGGCAGCACCTCCAACACCCACACAATTCATTGGGTCCTCCAGCTTTTAGGCACTCCATAAACTTCTCCCATCCTTTGCCAAGGAGCTTCTGTCTCTGCTTCTGCACCTGACTCCTACCCCGGCTGCCCTTTCAGCACTGACATGGGGCTTTGCCTGAGACCCTACCGAGTAGATGTGTCCTCTGTGCACCCAGGGAAGACAGCCCCCGGTGCTCAGAGCTGGCTGTACTCACCTCCGCTTGCCTCTGAGCACCAACCCCTCAGCCCTGAGCGCAGAGCAAACGCGCCTGGCTGAAGTGGGAACCAGCAGCACGCGGTGCTGAACCAGTTTGACCCCTTCTCTGCCCCCGCTCCGCCGGTCAAATAAGAGCAGTTCCAGGTCAGGCTGCAAATGCTTTCCCTGCTGTTCATGCTGCCAGCTCATCCCACGTCTCTGCTGGGCCCTGGCACTTGCTCACGCCCTGGCTCCTCATGCTGCTATCCTGGCCAGCTCTCGCTCCGGTTTGGACTCGCCCCAGACAGGCTGCACGTGTGGAGCAGTAGCCTGGAGCCTACCTGCACCTTGGCAGTCCCCGTTTCCCCTTCCTCTCCCTTCTCCCCTCCTTATGTGCCATGGATTTGACTGAATTATGATCAGATCCTCAGAAAATCACCAGGTGACACTGAAACAGGACTGCAGTTGCCAGCCAGTACAACAGGGGAGCCCGGACCCCTGTCTGGCCACCGCTCAGGGCCAAGGTAATGCCGTGGGCAAGTGCTTCTCCCAGGGCAAGCGGTGTCATGCTCCCCCGCCCCTGTACCGGCCGGCTCCTGCACCCTCACTGCCGCCCTGTTCCTTTCGGGCAGGCTGCTGGGCTGGCAGTTCCCCCCGCAGCCCCC